GAGAGTTGCAGCAGCGTGGTCAGCTTCATCTTGCTTACGTGGCCACTCGGGCCAACACTGCTGATGTCTTCACCAAGGCACTTCAGCCTTGTGATCATCAGCGTTTCTGTACTGTTCTAGGCCTTGTGCCTACTGTGCCTCACTTGCTTACTTCTTGACTCTGCTTGTACTGTGATCTCTATACATATACCTGCATGCTTACACTTGCTAGGTTGTGATCACTGTATTGCTTGTTCTCCTTTATATAACTCTGCATGTGAACTGGCCTTGTGGCCATTTTCTTGTGCTCAGAATGCGTGGTGACGTCGTGATCCACCCTGAGCTTGCTTTGCCTTTCTTGACCTGTCTTCTGACCTCTTGTTCTCCCCCACTTTGCCTATGAGGGTGTGTCAAACTTATATGCTATAGCCTGTGTAGGCTGTAGTGGGGTAGTTCATATAGGGTACAACACTTTTAGGTTTCCTACTTGTACCCACCTGCTTGCTAGTTCAGTCACTCCTTCCTTCACTATTCTGACAGTAGCTTCCGTAGCGGTTTCGAAACGCGGTCTTGTAGCAATCGTCGGCGAAGACCCAAATATGGTGGTAACCGCCACGAAGTCGATTTTCGAGAAAGAGCGAGCACCGCGAAGCTGATCGAGGAGGTCGTCGGTACGTGGGATTGGATAGCGGGACTTGATGGTGGCCCTGTTGAGCGCACGACAGTCGATGCACATGCGAAGGCCGCCGTCCTTTTTCGGCGTAAACATGATCGGAGCTGCGAAGGGAGATGTACTGGGTCATATAAACCCCTTCTCCAACAGTCCGTCAATTTGGCTTCGTAGCTCCTCGAGTTCCGGCTGAGTCAGTCGCCACTGTGTACGAACAGTCAGTTGCGCGCCAGGTTACTGTGTATTTTGTGGTCCTCGGGGCGTCCTGTGCACAGCTTCTCGATGTCCTTTCCGTCGGTGTCAGTTGCCAACTCGCGCAAACACACAGCAAACAGCTGCGCGCCTCGATTGAAATGGCGGGCAATAGTGATGGCTTTGACGCACTGGGCCTGAATGTAGTCCGGGGTCCATGCAGGTAATGTAATGAGCCCATCGTGCTTGCTGATACTGCACGATTCCGTCGTCGAGTCGATGATGGGGTTGTGTAGTCGCAGCCGATCATGTCTCAGAAGCACGACTCGGTGGGGATGGTGAAGTTTGGGCGACAGAGCACAGTCGGTAAGGGGCCCGTATATCACAGACTCTTCCTATTTCCTGGCTCTTTCCCGTCGTTCCTTTTCGCCGACGTTTTCTCGTGGTAGTCTCTAGACATGTGACCCGATTTCCCATACTTATAACACAGCCCCGGAAAGGGGCGGTCGGGTGCATGGACTCCGTTGATTGTGGCCCGTTGGGTCTGTTTGCGAAAACGGTTTCCCTCCCGGGAACCTCCCCTCGCCCACTGCATCAGCGCATCTGTAGATCCTGCCAGCCGTACGGCTTCCAGGAACGTAGTCGGGCGGCATCGGCAAACCTCATACTCTATCTCGTAATTAAGTCCGCTGATATACTTATCCAACCGCTCCAGCTCCGCCATGTCGTCCACTTGGTAGTCCTGAACAGAAGCCAACTGCGACCAGGCACGCAGCTTCATGCGGGCTTGCTCCGAGGCGGATACGTGCTCGAAACGATCTTGCAAGGCTACGCCCCACTCCTTCCACGTGCGAATCCTAGTCACACTGAATATTGATGTTGCCACTTGATTAGCCGAAGTTGAGGTCCCGTCTGCCGCATGTGTCACACCTGTCGGGGTCCCCGTGTCCAAGGTACGTCGACACCACTCCAGAGTGGGTCCTTGGAGAAGCAAAACCGAGTAATTAATACGAGTGGCATCGTCGTCAACTCGCGCTGCAGTAAATAAAACCTTTACGCCAAATAGCCACCCCTTAACTGTGGTCGCCTTGTCGGTCGGGTTGAACGGGGGCGGGCTCGCGGGTTTTTTCTTGATTGTAATAACTGCAAGTGTTGTTGGTGCCGGCGCTTCTCGCCTATCGCTCTCGTCGTTTCTGCGTGTGAGTTTGCCACTTGTAACGACGCCACTCACGCCATGGCTGGTGGTATCGCCTTCTTCAACGGGCGACTCCTGACACGCTTCACCTTGCGTCTGTCGTAGCTCGACGTTTTCTCAACGTAGATGCTCCACTTCTGTCATCAATGACTTAATGCTCTCCTGCATTTCTGCCATTTGCACCATCATTTTGTTAACTGCTTCTGTCAGAATCCCAACCACTAGACCATTGGGATAAAAGGGCTTGTTTCAGTAGCGGGTCAGTGCGCCCATATCCGTGGTAAGAACTATCGGAGTCGGGCAGGTTTGAATTACAAACCTTGCAGCCAACGTCGTGCAGTCCATTGTACTAGCCAACCTGTGCCACTAAACTCGAAAAGCGAGGTGAACTAGGTAGGTAGCTCAGATACCAGGTGTATGAGTTGTAAAACAGAGTTGCGCGGAAAACGGATAACGAGGCTGTGACTCAATGAACTCACAATACAATGAAGGCACGTGATAATATAGTAGCTATTGTAGCTAGGAGGGAACCTCGGAGATGCGAGGTTGGGTGCAGGTTTGGCTAGCGGACAACCGGGGGCGACGCGGGGCAGCCTCGGAATGGTGGATGTCAGCCGAACGTGCGAAGTCCGAAATGTTGGGGTTGTACGCGTAGCAGTAAACCCCTTCCAAGGAAAAGGAAAATTTACCTACAGAGGCTGTTGCGTTTCGGTCAGTAACGCAGTCAACATGGTCAATGCGAATTTCCAATACATGCGATGTGTCCCCATAAAATGTTCACAGTACACAGTTATTCAAGAGCTGTTCAAGACTTGATCATACAACACAAATTTTGGGTACCCTGTTTACTACGGTAAGTTGTACCTAGGCTGGTCAAGAAGGTTGCGCGTCTTGATCAGCCAGCTGACGAACACACGACTGCTGGTTTGAACAACTCGTTCGTCAGCAAAAATATTATGTACCGCATCGTTGGTCAACATAATCGACGAAACGGATTTTCGCGCACCAAGTAGCAGTCGCCCGTGAGTGAGAAGGTAGCGAAACGGTTACAGGAGTCACAACTTCCAGTGTTGTAGGCAGGTTCGTCATCTCGACTGAAATTAGTTCTTAGACGAGTCTTGTCCACCCGCTTTTGTAACATGTTCCAAAATGTTTATTTTGACCAGAATTTTCTCACCAACCTCGTTTGAACCCCGTTCAAGCTAGCTTGAACGCATTGTTCGTCATTTCCATCTTGAACAGCTCTTGAACAACTGTGTACCGCGCCCTTAACCGCTAATGATCCTAGGGTTGTGATGTTGGTGATCTAGCTGCGTGAAACATTGCCAGGTGTACCACGCTCTAACCCCAGCATCTGCCTTCCACATAACGCGATAGCCAGCCCTCAGGGCGTGTCCAAGCGCGTACATTTTGGGAATTTTAGTGCCCAAACACGTGCCGGGGTTCAAAACAGATCACCGTACCTAGAAACGAACGCACTGTGAGCCGGGTCCACCCCACTAGCGCGTGGACACATATCCCCACACAAACTTCAACAGTGCCAGGTCCGCGTGGAAACCTAGGTAACCGGTTCCCTCGTGAAGAATAGGTCTGGCATTTTTGCACATGCGAGTTGCCTGGCCATGTGGTTTGCCAAAGCGGAGGTGGTTTTGGCGAGTCTCGTGCTGTACTGGCGAAAGTGTGCGAGCCATTAGAGGGGCCACCTCTGTAGTGGGCAGGACGCAGTGCTGGACCCTAGTTCGCGCGCACGCTGCATGTAGTAACGTGAGTCACACGACTCGAGGTACGTGCAGCTGGAGTGCCGTCTCGTGAACAAAAGCTGGTCGTGTCCGCCCTTTTTGTAAAATGCTGTGTTACAACGCTAAATGTGGTAACTTTGGGGATTTAAGAAGTGTAGGAGCGGGACTCCCCTCATCCAAAACTTGACGCTCCAACAGGCGGAACCTGGCGCACTGGTAGCTAGTCAGTCGTGACTCACGACTCACAAACTTCCGCGCTTCTCCAGGCTCGCTCGCTGCTTCGAGCACTGGCTGCTGCAGGGACGCGCAGAAAAGAGCTGCAGTAGGCCGAGAGAGCAGTGTGCGTGCGAGGAGTCAGCCGTTCGGAGCCGGCTGTCCAGCGCGCATCCGCATCCTTCCGAGACGAGCCCCCGAGTAGAGGATCCCGCCGCCCGCCATGGAGGCAGCGCTGGGCTGTCGCGTCCGTCCGCGCGCCGCAGTCGGCTCTGCGGCGCCACTGGCGGCGCGTCGTTGTCCCTCGGGCCGGTTTGCTCGCGTCGCGTCCAGCCCAGATTCCCTTGCGCCGCGCCCCCTCCTCCACCGCGCGGCGCTGCATCCGCTGCAACCGCGTCGCCACCAACTCAGCACGAGCAGCTTGCGTCTGCCACAGCTGGGCTTGCGCCCGCCCGTGTCCGCCCGCCGCCCCCATCGCCCGCCGCCCCCATCGCCCGCCGTCCCGCGTCGCCAGGGCGGCGCCCGCGGCGGAGTCGGCGTCCAGCGAAAGCAGGGACGATGTGACTGTAACGGGCGACGCAGAGGCGCAGCTGAGAGCGGCGTCAGCGGCGGAGGGGAGGGCGGAGGAGGGCGGGACGGTGGAGTGGAGTCGCGCGTGGTACGCCGTGGGCGTGACGGCTGACATGGACGCGACTCGCCCGCACGACATCACCATTGTGGGCCGCCCGCTCGTGCTCTGGCGCGACGCCGCGGGGTCGTGGCGCTGCTTCCTCGACCAGTGCCCCCACCGCCTCGTGCCGCTCTCCGAGGTGCGCCCTGCAAGCGCCTCCCATCACACCTGTTCCCATCACACCTTTTCCCATCACACCTGTTCCCATCACACCTGTTCCCATCACACCTGTTCCCATCACACCTGTTCCCATCACACCTGTTCCCATCACACCTGTTCCCATCGCACCTGTTCCCATCACAGCTGTTCCCATCACAGCTGTTCCCATCACACCTGTTCCCATCACACCTGTTCCCATCGCACCTGTTCCCATCGCACCTGTTCCCATCGCACCTGTTCCCATCGCACCTGTTCCCATCGCACCTGTTCCCATCGCACCTGTTCCCATCGCACCTGTTCCCATCGCACCTGTTCCCATCGCACCTGTTCCCATCGCACCTGTTCCCATCGCACCTGTTCCCATCGCACCTGTTCCCATCGCACCTGTTCCCATCGCACCTGTTCCCATCGCACCTGTTCCCATCGCACCTGTTCCCATCGCACCTGTTCCCATCGCACCTGTTCCCATCGCACCTGTTCCCATCGCACCTGTTCCCATCGCACCTGTTCCCATCGCACCTGTTCCCATCGCACCTGTTCCCATCGCACCTGTTCCCATCGCACCTGTTCCCATCGCACCTGTTCCCATCGCACCTGTTCCCATCGCACCTGTTCCCATCGCACCTGTTCCCATCGCACCTGTTTCCCATCGCACCTGTTCCCATCGCACCTGTTCCCTATCGCACCTGTTCCCATCGCACCTGTTCCCATCGCACCTGTTCCCATCGCACCTGTTCCATTCGCACCTGTTCCCATCGCACCTGTTCCCATCGCACCTGTTCCCATCGCACCTGTTCCCATCGCACCTGTTCCCATCGCACCTGTTTCCCATCGCACCTGTTTCCCATCGCACCTGTTCCCATCGCACCTGTTCCCATCGCACCTGTTCCCATCGCACCTGTTCCCATCGCACCTGTTCCCATCGCACCTGTTCCCATCGCACCTGTTCCCATCGCACCTGTTCCCATCGCACCTGTTCCCATCGCACCTGTTCCCATCGCACCTGTTCCCATCGCACCTGTTCCCATCGCACCTGTTCCCATCGCACCTGTTCCCATCGCACCTGTTCCCATCGCACCTGTTCCCATCGCACCTGTTCCCATCGCACCTGTTCCCATCGCACCTGTTCCATCGCAACCTGTTCCATCGCACCGCACCTGTTCCCATCGCACCTGTTCCCATCGCACTGTTCCCATCGCACCTGTTCCCATCGCACCTGTTCCCATCGCACCTGTTCCCATCGCACCTGTTCCCATCGCACCTGTTCCCATCGCACCTGTTCCCATCGCACCTGTTCCCATCGCACCTGTTCCCATCGCACCTGTTCCCATCGCACCTGTTCCCATCGCACCTGTTCCCATCGCACCTGTTCCCATCGCACCTGTTCCATCGCACCTGTTCCCATCGCACCTGTTCCCATCGCACCTGTTCCCATCGCACCTGTTCCCATCGCACCTGTTCCCATCGCACCTGTTCCCATCGCACCTGTTCCCATCGCACCTGTTCCCATCGCACCTGTTCCCATCGCACCTGTTCCATCGCAGTTCCATCGCACCTGTTCCCATCGCACCTGTTCCCATCGCACCTGTTCCCATCGCACCTGTTCCCATCGCACCTGTTCCCATCGCACCTGTTCCCATCGCACCTGTTCCCATCGCACCTGTTCCCATCGCACCTGTTCCCATCGCACCTGTTCCCATCGCAACCTGTTCCCATCGCACCTGTTCCCATCGCACCTGTTCCCATCGCACCTGTTCCCATCGCACCTGTTCCCATCGCACCTGTTCCCATCGCACCTGTTCCCATCGCACCTGTTCCCATCGCACCTGTTCCCATCGCACCTGTTCCCATCGCACCTGTTCCCATCGCACCTGTTCCCATCGCACCTGTTCCCATCGCACCTGTTCCCATCGCACCTGTTCCCATCGCACCTGTTCCCATCGCACCTGTTCCCATCGCACCTGTTCCCATCGCACCTGTTCCCATCGCACCTGTTCCCATCGCACCTGTTCCCATCGCACCTGTTCCCATCGCACCTGTTCCCATCGCACCTGTTCCCATCGCACCTGTTCCCATCGCACCTGTTCCCATCGCACCTGTTCCCATCGCACCTGTTCCCATCGCACCTGTTCCCATCGCACCTGTTCCCATCGCACCTGTTCCCATCGCACCTGTTCCCATCGCACCTGTTCCCATCGCACCTGTTCCCATCGCACCTGTTCCCATCGCACCTGTTCCCATCGCACCTGTTCCCATCGCACCTGTTCCCATCGCACCTGTTCCCATCGCACCTGTTCCCATCGCACCTGTTCGCATCGCACCTGTTCGCATCGCACCTGTTCCCATCGCACCTGTTCCCATCGCACCTATTCCCATCGCACCTGTTCCCACCGCACCTCTTCCCACCACACCTGTTCCCATCGCACCCACCTCAATCTTATCACTTTCCCAACCCCCCCCCTCCCCCCTCCCCCCCTGCCCAACGGCCACAGGGGCGCATAGACTCATCAGGGCGGTTGGCGTGTTCGTACCACGGGTGGGCGTACCCCTCTACCCGCTGGGTCAGAATGGAGGTGTTATAGGCGCAGCGGATGCCCACCACATGTATTCCCATCACCTGTTCCCGGCTCACCCACCTCCTCTCACCCCGCCCCCTCCCAACGGCACGGCCACAGGGCCGCATAGACGCGGAGGGGCGGCTGGCGTGTTCGTACCACGGGTGGGCGTTTGCAGGCAGCGGCGCGTGCGAGCTCATCCCGCAGGCCGCCCCGGAGCACCCCGGCCAGCCCCCCCGCGCCGTGTGCTCCCCGCGCGCATGCGCCACTGCCTTCCCCGTGAGGGAGTTCCACGTGAGTGCCGCACGTGTCACGGGCTACATACACAATAGGAAGCTTATCATCCGTGGGTCGCAGGTCATGAAAGGCAGGTCGCAATAACCCACTGTGCCTAGCTAACAGCGAGAGCTGGAGCCTGAAGGCATCATGCTGGGGTAGTCCGAGCAAGGAGAAGGGCATGAGAGTGGCGAGATGGCAAGGAGAAGGGCAAAGCGGGCGGCTGCTCGGCTGCTCGGCTTGCCTGTGCGTGTCCGCAGAGCAAGTGGGTTAGGGGCGAGGGGAGGAGGGGCAGTGGTGAGAGACAACTGTGCCTCCCCTCCCCTCCCAATGCCCACAGGGGCGCATCGGCTTGTCCGTCGCTTCTCAACAGTCCACCCAGCCAATCGCCCCCACTCTCCCCGCTGCGCGCCCGTTACTCCCCCTCCCTTGCCCCCACTTCCCCCCGCCCACCCCAGGGGGTGCTGTTCGTGTGGCCAAATGAGCATTCGGCAGAGCAGGCGGAGGCGACGCCACTGCCGCTGCCGCACGGGGTGGAGTGGGACGAGTACGAGGTGCTGCCGCACTACACGCGGCGCCTGGCGTACGGGTATGAGGTTCTGGTGGAGAATGTGGTGGACCTCTCCCACTTCCCCTTCGCCCACCACGGCGTCGGCATGACCACCCGCGACAAGGGCGGCCCTATCAACAACATCGGCATGACACAATCGGTGCGGCGCGGCGGTGGGCAGGGAGGTTTCTGTGTGATGGGGGGATGCCGTTTGCACACTCAGAGAGGCTTGCACATGCAGAGAGGCATGCACGTGCAGAGAGGCGTGCACATGCAGAGAGGCGTGCACATGCAGAGAGGCATGCACATGCAGAGAGACTTGCACATGCAGAGAGGCATGCACATGCAGAGAGACTTGCACATGCAGAGAGGCTTGCACATGCAGAGAGACTTGCACATGCAGAGAGGCATGCACATGCAGAGAGACTTGCACATGCAGAGAGGCATGCACATGCAGAGAGGCGTGCACATGCAGAGAGGCATGCACATGCAGAGAGGCTTGCACTTGCAGAGAGGCATGCACATGCAGAGAGGCGTGCACATGCAGAGAGGCATGCACATGCAGAGAGGCATGCACATGCAGAGAGGCATGCACATGCAGAGAGACTTGCACATGCAGAGAGGCATGCACATGCAGAGAGACTTGCACATGCAGAGAGGTTTGCACATGCAGAGAGACTTGTACATGTAGAGAGACTTGCACATGCAGAGAGGTTTGCACATGCAGAGAGACTTGCACATGCAGAGAGGCTTGCACATGCAGTGATGCGTACACACTCACATGCACTTGCGCTGCACACACATAGACATCCGTATACAAGATTTGCACTTCACTGTTTGTGCTTGTGCTCGCCCTGCCTGCACTGCGCTCGCCCTGCCTGCACTGCCCTCACCTGCCCTCTACTGCCTCTGCACTGCCCGCCTGCAGGGCGTGAAGGGCTTTGAGGGGCCCATCCACGTGTTTGGCTTCCCCACGTACCTCCGCTTCCAGGCGCCCCAACTCGTCTTCTACCACAGCACCGTAAGGTACCGCACAACACCACAACACCATGACGTGCCGCCCCCGCCACAACACCATGACATCCACCCTTTTCACCCTACCCCCCATCCCCACATCTCTCCTCCCCGTCCACCCCCGCTTTTATCCCACCCTCACTTTCCACCTCCCCTTCTACTCCTCGCTTTCCCCATTCCACCCTCCTCCCGCTCCCTTCCCCCCCTCTCCTGCCAGCCCGCCGCCCCCCAAGTTCTCCTTCCTGCAGAGGAAGGCTGGGGCAGCAGCAGCAAACACGAGCTTGGTGACTTTTGAGTCGACTCAAAAGTCATTTTGAGTCGACTCAAAAGTCATCTTGTTACAATGTCACACGGAGTATTTTCTACAAGAAGAAACATCATCGCATGGAGGTTACCTAAACGAGTAGGCAATTATCTAATTTCTGCTCATAAGTGCTAGCTTACTGTAGATTCCATTTCTACTGTTTCTATCTAGCTTTTCCCTGCCATCCCAGCCCCGCGAAGGAATGCCTTGCGTTGGAGCCTCGGGCTTTGGTATTTAGGGTGCTTGCTTTCTCTTTTTCTCCTTTGTGGTCTGAAGAAGGCTCAAAGCCGAAACTAGTTACCACCAAGATTTTTTTCTACAAAGGTCCTAAGCAAGCCTACCAACACAAAAAACATTTTTACTAAACAAGCTGCTGCCACGCAAAGTCATGCCTCCTAAGTGGGGTTCCATTGGACTGTCAGTTGATACTACTGCGATGGCCGGCTACACGTTTAACGCATCAAACACTACTACGAACAATGCTGACCGCGTCCCGACTATCCCAAGGCCATTGAGAGCATCGCGAAGAATTTCGCAGCTCGGCCAGGATAAAAAGCCGGTCAGCCAAGGGGACTTTCCACAGTCTCCTTCTGCTTCTCGACATTGCAAGAAGAGAGGTCTTGACACTTCTGGTGCTACTCTCGCAAAGTCCATTGACGCTCCTGGAATTACTCCCGTTACGATGGCTACTAATGCTACCACGACGGTTCCGGAGCAGGAAGCAGTCCAAGGATTCCAGGACTCTGTCACTCGTGACACTATCATGCTGGATTCACTTGATTTTCTCGGTGATATTAACGCATCGTTTCTGGATCAGCAGGCTACACCAGCCATTTTTAAGACACTTAAGTCTCAAGCCGTCAGTGACTTCAAAAGGCATTTTATGAAGTATCGGACGCTGCTGCAGCAATACAATTTTATGGAGGAGCAGAAGAAGAGCGGTATCATCCCGCATTCTATTCGGATTAAATCCTTCAACTTCGTCTGCCATGCTGAAGATATTCGTCAAGAAGCAGATAAGGACCTGGAAGCCGCTAAATTGGCATATTGCCAGAGTACGCAGAATATTCTCATTTCAATGAAGAAGAAAGCTGCTGATAAGGCCTTCAGCGACGCCTGTGCTGTTTATCAGTCACTCATTCATCACATCGATAACTTCATCAACCTGAACAAGAAGTCAGATCTCGGCATAAAGAACCCAAAACTCATTGACAGCCTAGATGTTTTCAAGGCACGCGTTCTGACGGAGTTTAAGGATTCCGTTTCGATTGTCTACATGGAAACCAACATGGCGGAAGTCCTCCTGAAACAGAAGAAGGAGGAGCTTGACGCTAAGAAAACGGCTGCTGTTGAGGAAGCTGAGAACCTGCCGGTTGAACCTACGGTCCGTGAGATCGCTCGTCAAGAGGTGCAGAAATTCATGAAGCAGCCTTCGACTAAGACACCTGCGAGAAAGACCGGCTACAACAACAAGGATAAGGCTGCTTTTTCTGGAAATCCTAAATCTAAGTCTAACATTTCCGGTATCCATGTCAGGAAAAACGCCTGCACAGGCAAGAAGTCTCGTTCGACTCCGAAAGCCAACGGCAAATCCAATGACAAGGGCCTTAATGGCAAAAAGACTGGGAAGCAGACTCAAGATGAAGCAGAAGGTTGACGAAGCAGAAGCATCAGCGGTTAAAACCGTGGGTCGCTCTTACTCTAAGACAGCTGCTCGCAACGGCTCTAAGTCGACTGGACGCAACGGCTCCTCCTCCTTTTCATCCCGCAAGGAACCTGTGACAAAAAACGGGGGAGGCGGAGGCCGCAGAAAAACGACTCGACAGTAATGGGTGATGTGCACTCATTTGCTTTGGTGCTCTTCGGAAGACAAACCGAGTACCAACTGCAATGTCGGATCACCAACCGCGGTATCCATAACTACAGTGATCATTCTTTCACACGACAGGAACTTAATCTTCTGCGCCTTGGACTGAAATTCATCCCCGTACCTGTAATTTGTACTGTCGCCAGTTTCGAAGCAGAGATCTCTGATTTCTTTAGAAGTGTTTGTACCATGTACCTGTTTAATGGATCTGACTCTTTCGGTTACTCAGGGTACAAGCTACCTAAGAGAACTAACTGGAACCCTCCACCAGCCTCACCTGAAATTGAAGCCGCGCTGGAGGTGTTTAAAGAAGCAGCCGTTAAAGAAATTGCTGGACAAACTTTCACTTCACTCACACGGAAGTCTAAGAACGTGCTCCCGATGCTGCGACGACTTGCTAACAATCCTAATCTCATTTTCAAGCCGGCGGAAAAAAACCTTGGACTAACTGTCATGAGCAGAGAATACTATCAGGATCAATGTCTGAAGCATCTGCTCAATAACACGGTCTACAAGGAATACTCGACGGTTCCCATTACTAACATTCTCCAAGAGCTTCATTCTATTCGATCTGAGTGGAGCTGTGTCATTAAATCCAGAATTTGGGATTCTTTCTTTCATCAACCTAAGAATGGCTGGAAGGTTCCAGCTTTCTACGTGCTGCTGAAAATCCATAAGAAAATTCCTGTTGGGAGGCCTATCGCGGCTTGCCATTCTTGGATAATTACTAACGTTTCTCGCTGGCTGGATTCAGTCCTACGCCCGTTGGTCCTCAAACAGCCGACCTATGTTAAGGACTCCCAGAGCCTGATTCTTCATCTCGAGCAATGTTCATTTTCATTTTCACCTAACATGCTGCTGGCGTCTTATGACGTGGAATCGCTCTACCCGTCAATTCCCTTGTGGGACGGGATAGACGCTGTCGCCTTTTTTCTTCAAAAGGAGAGACATCCATTGGCCCCAGTCATCGTCCGTTTGCTCAGATGGGTGATGTTCAACAGCTACGTTTCTTACAACGGCCGGTTTTTCCGCCAGATTCAAGGCACTGCGATGGGCACTTCAGTGGCTGTTTGCTTCGCGGTGCTTTTCCTGAGCTACCTTGACATTCAACTGCACGCTTCGCTTCGTTTTTCTCCCGCTCTCCACTTTCGCTTTATTGACAATGGTCTCATTCTGTGGGAGGGAACAAAGGAAGACTTTTCGTGCTTTCGTCAACGGTTCGATTCTTTACATCCTTCAATTCGACTAACCTGGGTGGTTTCTGACGTTACCATGGACTTTCTGGATCTTACGGTTTTCAAGGGGGAACGGTTCTCTACTACTGGAACACTCGACATGAAGCTGTACCAGAAGCCAATGAACCGGTACTTATACCTGCCGTTTAAATCCTACCATACTCGCACCACCAAACTGGGTTTCATTCGGAGTGAGCTACAGCGTTTCCTGCTACGCTCCTCTTCACGCACTGACTTCTTACACTCCCGCGCACTTTTCTTTGCTCGTTTACGAGCACGTGGGCATCCTGAGAAGTTTCTCCTTCCAATCTTCAAGACAGTGCTTTTCTCCAACCGTGGGGAATTACTCCAACGTGCCTCCGCTTTGCGCAATTCTTCTACCCGTGGCCCCCTCGTGCTGAAACTTCTGCTCAACCTGCTGGTTGACCGTTCGCACCTGGGGAACATTTTGAGTCGACTCAAAAGTCATCTCGTTACAATGTCACACGGAGTATTTTCTACAAGAAGAAACATCATCGCATGGAGGTTACCTAAACGAGTAGGCAATTATATAATTTCTGCTCATAAGTGCTAGCTTACTGTAGATTTCATTTCTATTGTTTCTATCTAGATTTTCCCTGCCATCCCAGCCCCGCGAAGGAATGCCTCGCGTCGGAGCCTCGGGCTTTGGTATTTAGGGTGCTTGCTTTCTCTTTTTCTCCTTTGTGGTCTGAAGAAGGCTCAAAGCCGAAACTAGTTACCACCAATATTTTTTCTACAAAGGTCCTAAGCAAGCCTACCAACACAAAAAAACATTTTACTAAACAAGCTGCTGCCACGCAAAGTCATGCCTCCTAAGTGGGGTTCTGCCGGGGCAGCAGCGGCGAACACGAGCTTGGTGCTGCTGCTGTACATCACGCCTAGCGCACCGGGCAGCAGCATCTTCGTGCAGGTGAACCTGGTCAGTTTTTGAGTCGACTCAAAAGCCATCTCCCCCCTCCCTTCTCCCCTTCCCCCCCAGCCCGCCGCCCCCCAAGTTCCCCTTCCTGCAGAGGAAGGCCGCGGCAAACACGAGCTTGGTGCTGCTGCTGTACATCACGCCCAGCGCACCGGGCAGCAGCATCGTCGTGCATGTGAACCTGGTGTGTTTTTTAGTCGACTCACTCAAAAGCCATCTCCCCCCTCCCTTCTCCCCTTCCCCCCCAGCCCGCCGCCCCCCAAGTTCCCCTTCCTGCAGAGGAAGGCCGCGGCGAACACGAGCTTGGTGCTGCTGCTGTACATCACGCCCAGCGCGCCGGGCAGCAGCATCGTCGTGCAGGTGAACCTGGTCAGGCCCGGCGACGGCAAGAAGCTGCCCTCCATGCCGCGCTGGCTGCGGCACATCGGCCTGCACCAGATATACGATGGTGAGTGCGGCACCTCCGCTTGCACCAGGTGTACGATGCGGTGACGGAATCAGTGATCACAGATGATAGCCTTATGATTGTGGTGTTCTTTCCGGTTCTTGTCACATCACTGGGGTGCCATGTGTGTCCCGCGCCATGCCCATCAGGCGATTCCTACTTCCTGCACTGCCAGGAGCGAGTGCTGCAGGAGAGGGAGCAGCAGATGGAGGAGGCGCGGGCGAGCAAGGGCGGGGCACAGCAGGGGGG